CTGAGGGGGGGCAGTACCCAATGTACATACATGGTTTGTGTGGGTTGAGGGCTTAGGGCTTTGGAGTTGGGATTGCAGGGAAATAGGCATCTTGCGCCAGTCAAGATGCGCAGCACACGAAAACAACCAGGCGACAAGGTAAGTAGGGTGGCGCAAATTTTCCTACATGCATAGTATGAAGGGTGCAAAAGTTGGAATAGAGGAGTATGCGGGCGGCTGAGTTGTATGCGCGAAGGGACCCCTACATCCTCTCCCTATCTTAATTCAAACCCCAGAAGAGAAGTAGATCATCTGAAACCAAACAAGCCCCAAATCCAAACCCTAAACCCTACACCCTAAAAAAGAACCCTGTTGCAATTCCAAATGCAAGTCATTGGAACAGTTTCGCTGATGATCCACGAGATCCCGGTTTAGGGTTGAGGCTTTGGGCCTCGAACCTATTACGAAGACAAGATGAGTACGGATTTGAGTCTATCTAATGGGAATAGAACCTGATCTCTACATCAGGATCCCTGCTGTCATTCTCTTGCTTGTAAATTTTGTTTTTCTCATTTGGGTACTAATCGCGTGTGTTGTGAACGCGGGCCTTTATCTAGGAATGCCTGTTACGAAGTAGCACTACCTTCATTTATAATAGTCGCCACTAGGGACCGCAGAATATTACCTGGCCTTAAGGGTCCAAGGACCCAAATAATAGGGTTTCAGGGCCCAAATACTGTACTATTAATGGTATTTGGGCCCTAATACCCCATTATTTGTGTCCTTGAACTGTTAGGGTGGAATTAGCTTGGCTTTTCTCTATGTAGACGACTCACCTATAATCTGAACCTAATAACTATTCTTCACCTGAGGGTGGGTGTAGGGTTTAGGGTTTAGGGCTTAAACCCTGGGTCTAGTGTTTAGGGTTTAGGCTTTGGGGCTTAAACCCTGGGTTTAGGTTTTAGGTTTTAGGGTTTAGGGTTTAGGGTATAAACCCTAAACCCTTTAGGGTTTAGGGACAAGAGAACTACTACTACCTGGACCCCAAGCTGTATGTAGAAGGTTCGCCTTTTGGGCCCTTTTGGCTACCCACATGCCCACAGTTCAGGGTTTAGGGTTTAGGGTGTAAGCCCCCAAAGTTATGGGTAGCCTAAACGCTAAACCTTGTGTTGCATGTATTTCGAGGGTCCAGGCCTATAGAACCCGAGGAGGACACAATGGACTCGTTTCTGTACTCCCTAGATGGGGAATTCCCAAAATTAGGGTCCCATTTTGGTACCCATAAGTATTAGGTGGCGTAATCTAATCTATAGCCCCACGGGGCCCATGATTTTGAGAACAACCTAGATACTGTACCGCCGTGGTAAGTTGGATCGCTAGACCTTGAACCCCGGGTTTAGGGTCTAAACCCTAAACTAGGGTTTAGGGTTTAGGGTTCTAGGGTTAAGCCCGAAACCGAGACATGTAACCCCAAACCTTGAAACCTCAAGACCGATATCTGAAACCCTGAGCTCCAAACCCTACAGTTGAAAACTTACTTGGAGAGGCGGATTTTCTTATAACCTACTGAAAACCACAACTATAAAACAATCAAAGCTAAACTTACGGGACTTTTAGGGGGCTTAAAGTTAAGCCATGGTTCCATGTTAAAGTAGGTTATAAGTAACACGCCCCTCCAAGTAGGGGATCGCGGCACTAAACCCTAGACCCTACGGCCAGAATTCGAGATGCCGCCCGTACAGCCCCCTTAAGTAGATAGAATACCGCTTCGGGCATTATAACAAGAACCCCATATACCCCAAGTTCATCTGCTTAAGGGGGACAAAACCCTAAACCCTAAACCCTATATTCTATCTACTTAAGGAGGACTATAGCTTCGTGAGAGCACGGGTTGGCATTTTTGGGCTGCTACGGGGGGGTGCTTTTTCAGGTTCATGGGTTTATAGTCACCCGTAAGTAGATAGAACATGGTTTTGGGTATAACATAATAAGATCCCCATATACAACATATTCTATCTACCTAAGCGGGACTATAGCCGTGCCAAGGGGCTTTATAAGGTTTTTATATATAGGGACTACGGTGCCTCCTTGAGAATTCTATAGGGGTTACGTAGGGACGAGGGTGGCTTCTAAGAGGCTTCATAGGTATGGGGACTATGACGATACAGTGGGTTTAGGGCTGTTTGGGGTCGTTGAACCAAGTAAGACTATATTCGTCTCTGTAAAAATACACAAATACTACCAACACTGGTAAGGGATTCTAAGAAATTGTACTTGCTTATCACCTAGGATTTCCCTACCTAACCTGAGAATAGCTCATGTGAGCTGCAGTCTAAACTCCTAGTATCCCCCTTAATAACTCCTATGCTAGTCCCCTATATAATCCCCCATATAACCCCCCTTTAAGGAGTTTAGACTACAGCTCATGTGAGGTTTGCTTGATCCTCCTTTTTATCTTATCCGGACACAGCCTCGATCTCCGCTTGCCTCTGCCATTTAATACTCCCCAAAACCACTATGGGCTATTAGACCTTAAGGGTAGCTTAACCTACCCTTAATAGGGTCCTAATAGGGAATTTTAGGGTCTAATAGCCCATGGTAGAATGGAATTAAACCCTGACCTTGGGAGGTATTTCATAAGAGGGAGTGGGGTGTGTTTATAGGCTGCCTGGTGACCTAGGAGTAGAAGGGCCCCCTTTTTTTCAGAAGTTAGTTTTGCGCGCTACCTAAGATACTCGGGAATCCAGTTTTACAGGATCGCCCCATGAAGTTAACCCAGCATAGTATGAGACCGAATCGCAGAGAGAATCCAAGACTCTGAACCCTAAACACCCTGAAAACCCCAAAGCCTAACCCTAGACCCTAAACCCTAAATCCTGTACCCGAAGATCCAAGAGGAGATTTCTCGCGCAGTCGTCAGGTAGCGATATGCTTCCAGCATTCTAGAGGCGTTCTTGTACCCGTGGAAGGAAATTGCTTCCTTGAAGATGGCGGGATATTATAGGGTTTAGGGTTTTAAGCAGGGAGGACACAAGGGGTTTCCCAAAATTAGGAATACCTATTTGCTAAATCGGGCCCCCCGAATTTAAAGAAATTGTCATTTAAAGTTTAGAGTTTAGGATTTCACCGTTGCTAACCAACTAGCGCGTCCTGGCCCTCAACCCTGTTCCCCAAAACCCTCACCTACTCACGAAGCCCCCCTGACCCTCCAAGTACTGAAATGAAGAAACAAGCTTCAGTTTCGTTCACCCAGCACCAGGGTCTTAACGAGCTGCAGTTGGAGAAATGCTTGGAGCCTGTGAGGGGTTAAGGGGTTATGGATGTAGGGGTTTAGGGGTTTGTTTTTTTGGATTTCGGGTTTCTGCCCAACTTTGAAAAACTGCGTCTGCAATGTACAAATGGGGACCCGTCTCTGGGCCGCAAAAGAATACAGCGCTCGTTGCAGTACCCTAGAGCCTCGACCCCCTAGACCCTAAACTCACTAGATTAATCCATATTACGCTACAGTACTCCAAAACTTTAAAACGTAAACCCCCTAGACCATAAACCCAGTAGATTCATGCTAAATGCATGGCAGGGCTTTAACAAAATTGCTGCTTGGAATTTGGTGCCATTCTCAAAGGCTCCGGACCAGAAGGCACTAGGAATACCGAATAGAATATACAGGGGGCTAGATGGGGGTACCTAAAATTAGGGGTACCTTTTTGGGGGGTCCCCATAGGAAGGATGTAAGTATATGGGGTGTAGCTTCCCATTGGGACTTTCTAGTTGCGTTTTTTGCTGCCCACCAAAAGTCGGTCATGATTTCCATGACACCCCTCTTAGCAGTGGAAACAGGTACCCACTAGGCTCCAAAAACACTAAGGTAGATTCCCAGGGGCAAGCACAAAGGACAGACCCCCTAAGAAGGACCCCCTAAACCCTAAACCCGAGAATTGGCAGGGAACCCAGGGGCCTCTTGGACCCTAAACCCTAAACCCTAAACCCTAAAAGCCTAAACCCTAAACTCGAGAATTGGCGGGGAACCCAGGAGCCTCTTAGAGCGTCAGTCTTATATTGGATCCCCTTGAGGATACTCCGAGGAGTGCTAACCCTAAACCCTCTGTTTAGGGTTTAGGGTGTAAGCCCTAAGTACCAAACTCTAGACCCTCTAGACCTTTTTACCCGAAACCCTAATTACTGAACCCTAGACCCTGAACCCTACTCCTAAACCCCAAGCCCCAACCAGACATTAAATCCTAAAAACAGAGCTGCTCCAAGGAACATTGGAAGAGGTCAGGCAATCTTCCCTCCAGCATCCAGTCATTGGCTACTGCCACGCACGGAAAGGGCCTCCCTCCTCCAGGCTTAGGGCTTTTAAGATTTTAGGACGCAAGGTTCAGAAGGGTTTGTGGCTGTAGGTGATTAAGGGGCAAGGGCAGAGCCATCAGGAGAGAGCCCCGCATCATTACACTGTATCTGAGACTCTGAGATCTTGAGGTTTCTATCAGTACCTGACCCTCGAAAGTTAGTAAAGGAAGGGCGCAAACTCCCCAAAACATAGTAATCAAAGCCATTACTACTTACATACTTGCGCTGCAAAAGACAAGAAGTTTAACCTACTTGAATGGATTTGGAGCCCTATAGGGTTTAGTGGAGGCTAAACCTTGAGCGTCCTACCACCCAAGGGCCGCCCTACGGCTAGGAGTCTCTAGCTTTAAGCAACATCTTTATGGTAGTTTCCCTAAATTACTGTTCCCAAAATGGGCGAAATTTATATAGGGCCCCGTATTATAATGGGAACCCAAATATGGGACCCCGTATTATAGGGAATTTAGACCAATACCCTTATGGCTTTCCAGAAGTTACCATTTGGTACTGTCCCTAATTTAGGGTACCCCAATATAGATCCCAAAAGGTAGTAATTACAATAATCCTTATTATGGGGACCCTCAAAATGGTATCCCTAATCTTAGGGGTTTCGGGGTCGTTTTGGGTTCGTGGAAGCCCCCATATCCAATTCCGGAAAGTAAACGCCCACTTGCTGTAGAGGTTGCATGGGGCCACCTGCGATTGGGCAGGCCACACCCTAAACCCTGAACCCTCAAGCGCGCATACGCGATTAAGGCTTAAGGGCGGCTGCATCTTTGTTTTGAGACAAGGCGCAAACCCATAGAAAGGGATGAGACTATGTTGGCGTTATATTGGGACAATGGAAATAGAATGGAAACTATTCTGATGGGGTTACATAAGGTTTGGGGTTTAGGGTTTAGAAAGGGAGAAAGTCTGCTAACACCCTGAAGCATGCAGTGCCAAATGGGCTTAGGGTTTAGGGTTTAGGTACCCCGAACCCTAAACTCCCCAACCCTAAACCCTAAACCCTAAACCCAGAAATCCCCTTGGAAAGGTCCTTCATCCTCCCCGATGTCATGTGGCAGAGGCTGATTATTGAAACGTGTTTGACCAAACGCGGACACGAGCCCATGGTGCGGAAGCCTCGGATGAATACGGTTTCGGGTTTAGGGTTTAGGGCTTAGACTACAAGCATTTAAGCCTTGGGCTTAGTGTGTAGGATTTAGTCTTTAGGATCTAGGGTTTTGGGTTTACGACTTAGGGTTAGGGGTTCGTAACTCAAGTTCAAAGCCGAGCTTTCCCGACCGCAGGGCCAAATGATCACGAGGGGATAACAGGGTAAGTGCAGTTTTGAGACCTAAGGCCGTAGAGACTAAACCCTAAGCCCTAAGCTCTAAACCCCTAAATCCCTAAACCCTAAACCTTAAGCCCAAAACCCTTAACTAAATCAAGCTACTTTACAGGCTATGTAGCGGGGCCTGTAGGGGTTGGAAGGGGACGAAGTGAGAACTATTACCTGACCTCTAGCAGTTGAAACGGGGTTGCTATTAAGGAGCCCTAAGGGTCCAAGGACCCAAAATAATAGGGCTTTAGGGCCCGAATACCATTAGTATTATAGTATTTGGGCCCTAAAGCCCCATTATTTGGGTCCCTGGACCCTTAGGGGAACTTAAGTCAAGGTACCATAATGGGTATATAGTACATAATGGGGTTTAGGGTTTAGGGTTAAATCAAGGTGCCATAATGGATATAGTAAATGATATGGTTTAGGGCTTAGGGTTTAAACTAAGGTGCAATAATGGGTATATGTAATGATATTAACAGGGTTCCCCCATGTAGTAACTTAGAACAAATTCCTTAACATTAACCCGGTAATGCCTCCTGATGCGGCACATGGTCTTTGACTGATGTTCTCCACCAACGATCATTGAGATAGATACACTCACCCAAATTCTGGAGGAACCCTCTATCGATCGATCTGTCTATCTATCTATCTATCTATCTACATACATACAAATATAATGCACTCACCACGTCACAAACGTGCACTCACCACGTCACAAACGTGCCAGTTATTAAGAAGACACTAAACACAAGAAAGATAAACACGCGTCTCCTACCCCCGGTAGCCGTTTTTCTGCAACTCTAATACGACCTGTAAGAACTAACCCACCCAGCTTCTGAGTCACAAATCCCCGTATAACCCTTCGCAGCCCAACTCATAAGAAGAGTTTGGTCAGTACCGCCCCCTAAAACAGGGATCCGACAACTATCACATGACTATTCTAGGTCCAAACTCCCTAAACCCTAAACAGCATTCGGGGAGGGGGGCGGTGCGGTTACCAAACCTCCTTTGCTACCTCTAAGGAAATAGCCCTCAAGCCTAAAAGCTGCTAAGCGACAAGTTCATCTCCTGAAAGCAGAAGCCAGTAATCACATCGTCCAGATGGCCGGGCACCATTCCTTTTCTATGATTGCTGCAGTCCCCTTGAACCCTAAATCCTAAGTCCCCTTAAACCTATGATAAAAAGATATTATGTCTAATCATCCCTTTGAGCGATACTTTTATTTAAACAAAAGAAAGGAAGAATAGTTCTGAAGGCGACTGCACATTGAGGAGGGTTCCAAAATTTAGATTTAAGGCAAAGAGGTTGGGTTCAGGGTAGGGGTTGGAGATTAGGGTTCACGATTTGGGGCTTTGGGTTCGGATTCGGGGCTTAGAGTTTAGGATTTGGGGGTTACGGCCCATTGTCCAAGAACAAGAACCGTGGTATATTGGGGTCTAAATTGGGAGCCTGTTGGCAGAAGCCCCCCCCCCATTCAGCTTTGAGATTCAGAGTTTACGTTAAGTTCAGGACTCGTACTTTAAGTCATTCCCAACCACTCAAATTCAGCCCCGAGCCATTGCTAATCAGGATTCCTACTTGCAGGGGCATACAACTTCTGAATTACATAGCAACCAACCATTCTTATATGCCTACATCCTTTTTGACTAGAGACTCAGAAGACCTATGACTGGCAGAACTAAGTGTGTTTCGAATTCAAGTACACCGTAACCTAAAGCACCACGGGAGGTTTTGTTGGTTGTTAGCTACGTGAAAAGCATATGTTCTACCGTCCTCCAAGCTGACATGGACCTCCATATCATATGGCCCCAGTTTAGAAGGGCGGCAGTCTTGATAGGGACGTTATTGGGGTTTAGGGTTGGGGTTCCATGTCTATTTGGGGCGGTGGTTTGTTGCATTCAGAAATAACAAGAAAACTTGCAGCTTGTGGCTTAGTCCGCCCGACAATCGGGCGAGGACAAACATGGAACCTGCCTAACCCCTACATTTCTAAACAATGAACTCCAAACCTAAACCCCTAGAAACAGAAAATCCTAAACCCTCAACCTTAAACCCCAAGACCCAAACCCAACAACCCTCAAACTCCAAACCCTAGCCCCAAGATAGGCAAACCCTTCCCTCCCCAAAGACCCATCCCTGCAGCCCAGAAGAAGAGATCCCACCCAAACCTCCATCTAAGCCCTAAGCGCACACTAGTCAATCCTAGCGGTTTAGGGTTTAGGGGTTTAGGGTTTAAGGGATAAGGTGTAGGGTTTAAGGTTTAGGGTTTAGGGTTTAAAGTTAAAGGTTTTAGGGTTGGGAGGTTACTTGGAAGGTGAGGGAGACTTAGTAAGTAGGTTAATAAGGGGACAAGTATAGGCTTACCATATGGGCTATTGGGGTTACTAACCTACTTACTAAGTCCCCCTGCCCCTCCAAGTAGCGCCCAACAAACAGATTGCGCGGATGGAGGACATCGTGTTTAGGGTTTTAGGGTTTAGGGTTTTGGGTTTAGGGTTTAGGAGCCCTAAACCCTAAACCCTCAAACCCTCGAACCCTCAAACCCTAAACCCTCAAACCCTAAACCCTCAAACCCTAAACCCTAAAGTTTAGGGCTTTAGGGTTTAGGATTGCAGCGCTAGTTCCTCGATCTGCTCTACACCCTACACCCTGGAGCCATAAGCCCCAGAAGCCCACCAGCGGGATCCCATTCAAAATCCTAAAACCTTCACTATACACACAACCTCACCCCCCCCCTAAACTCTAGGCCCTCATCCCTAAGTACTAAACCCTTAAACCCTCTAAACTCTAGGCCCTTATCCCCAAGTACTAACACTTCAAGGAGATTCGGCATCCTTCTGGCAGTCCCGGCCCGGCCTCACCACCTTCAGCATACCTCGGTCTACGGAGTTTAGGGTTTAGGGATTTGGGGGTTTAGGCTTTAGGGTTTATAGGGTATAGGGTCTAGGGTGAATTCAAGTAGGGTTTCTGGTGTTTATGGTTGAGGGTTGTGGCTTAAGGTTAGAGGTGCAAAGTCAAGTTAGGGCTTCGGGTTGAAGGTGCGGGGTGGGCTTAAGGTTCGCAAGTAAACCCTAAAACCAAAACCCTACAAACCCTAAAAACCCTAAACCCAAAACCCAAAACCCAAAACTTTTCTGCGTTTTGGGCGGATATTCAAGGCTTCCCAGGGCCTCCAGGGCCCTCAGGGCCTCCCAAGGCCTTCCAGTGCCAAAGCACTGTCATGGCTTGAGGGTTTATGGTTTAGGGTTTAGGGTTTGGGGCTTAGGGTTTAGGGTTTCAACGCTCGAAAGGTTCCTAACAATCGTTAAGCGTTTGCACTTGCAAAGCTTTGTAGACCTCATCCTGTACACCAATCCAAGAGATTCACGTGTGGAGGCCGGCCACGGCCTCCGCTACCCCTATCGCCGCTCAAATCCTTTTTCTGAAAGTCCGAAACTTGAGAGTGCTGTCTGCGGTAGCGTGACGAGGAGTGAACAACAGACCTGGAGAAGAAAGAGAACAAGGAAGCCCCCCTTGCTAAGGGAGTTTGGGGGGTAGGAAACCTAAACCCTAAATGAGCATGGTTTGGGTGGCTGGGGTGGGACTACAAAGCTGCGCAAGCGCGCGATAGGGTGTGTGCCCCTGGCCGCTCACCCCGCGCGCGTCCACTGATGCACACCCTAAACCCTCAACCCGAAACCCAAAACCCAAAACCCTAGACCCAAAACCCTAAACCCAAAACCCTGAACCCTAAACCCTAAACCCTAAACCCGAAACCCTAGACCCAAAACCCTAAACACTGAGCCCCAAAAGCCAAAACCCTAAACCCAAACAGCAGCCTGTAATTCTGAGCCCACATTACCCCCGTAAGACAAAAGGATCCTAAATCTAGAGGTTTAAGGTTTTAGGGTTTAGGAGTTTAGGGCTTTGGCTTCCTGAAACAATCAGGGGGGTTAATTGGGATAATGGAAAAGGAAACAGAATCTACCACATTATAGTAGGGCATACATGGGTGGTTGTCAAAATTATGGTCCCTTTTGGGATCCCTATTATAATACGGCACCGAATATTTAGGGTAATTATCCAAAAAAGGATCATAATTTTGACAGCCACCCACATGCATATAAGGAATCCCATACCTCGAAAGTATAAAGGATCCCTAAGGTTTATCCAGAATTCTGGTCAACTAGGATCTTGAGGCAAGGCTCCAATGTATTCACATAGGGTAAGCGTTCCCAAATTGGGCCACGCAATATCCACACACAAAAAGTTTTCCTAGGAACCCTATCTATTTGCCAGTTTGTAATAGTCCCTAAACCCTAAACCCTAAAGATAATTTGGAGCCATTTTCTGCGTAAACCATCCTTTGGGTGAGGTCAGGTGGGGTCAGGTGAGGTCAACGTAGTTTGCCCAATATACCTAAACCCCCAGAGAAGGTAAAATAATGGCCCTTATGGCTGTTATTATGGGTTTAGCGCCATTATTTTACATACTTTTGGGGTCTAGGTATCACTTACCGACTATCAAGCTAAACGCCTACTTCACCACCCTAAACCCTAGACCCTGAACCCTAAACGGCGTCGAGATGCTTGTGCACCCTATCCTCCAGCATGGCCGCAAATGCCTTGGCGGCCTTCCATGGCAGGCAAATGCCCGCACCGCCATCCGGAAAATCTCCGACCCAAACCTGGTTCGAACCCTAAACCCTAAGCCCTAAACCCGTTCAGGGTTTAGGCTTTGGGGTTTAGGGTTTAGGACTCAGGGATTGGGCCTAGGCTTTGTGATTCTTCAGGAGTACGTTTGGGGCTATGGATCCACGGGGTGGATTTTGGGGAGTTTAGGGTTCAGGCCAGGGCCTAGACCCTTAAGGACTATATCAGGCTCAAGAGGGCCTAATAGGGTTCTAAGTCGGGGGGGGGGGGTACTATTGCAATCTCTAACTTGATCCTGAAATAAACCGTAACCCTAAACCCTAAACCCTAAACTCTAAACCCTAAACCCTAAATCCTAAACCGTATTTGAGACTGTATAAAGTTGAGGCTCCAGGTGAAGGCTTCTTTGTGTGCATGCTTACGATGTGAGAACATCATGGGTTCCACTGCTACCATGACAGCCCTGTACTCTTCCTAGGCTCTTACTTAATTGGCTTAGTTTGCCCCATTATCCTGAAAACTTCAAGCATGCGCGAACCTGGGAGGGTAGTCTAGGGCGGGTGGTGAGGGGAGGACATGAGAACAACGCAAAACGCTTCCCAATCACCGCAGGGAAGCTTTCATTGTGTGCTGCACCTGTCCCAAATAAACCATGGACCTTGGTTCACTATTACGCTTTAGGGTTTAGCCCAATGTACTACAATCTTAATTATAGAGAGTCCCATATAAAGGCCCCTTAATTGGAATAAAGGCCCCTTACTTGTAACAAAGGCCCCTTAATTGTAATAAAGGCCCCTTAACTGTAGAAACCCCTAAAAGAAGCTGGATAACTGGTTGCCAAGGCAGTTCTCCTGGGCGTAGTGCCGGAAACGGTTGGCAAGAAACAGCGTGTCTGGATCCAGGCGGCACACAAAGTCGGAGGGCGGCAAGTTTGTTCCAATCCAGTGCCACATGGCCAGAGCTTTGCCTAGCTTTTGCTACCCAGAAATTGGTTTGGAGGGTATGTTATACTAGACCTGTATTGCATATCGGGTCTGTGAAGGAAACATTTGTCAATGCACGCATAGGCTTTTAAAGTAATCACCTAGTATAGCATATGAAGAATGTAAACACATCGGCCAATACTCAGGCTTTGTCACTGAGAGGCTCAGGGCACTTTGCAAGTTGGCTCTCTAAACCCCCTGACTGTGACTGATACCTTTCCTGGCTTGGCGTGATGTAATTCCTTCATGAAATTTTCTGAACAACAGAACTCCGAAAGTCTAGATAGGGTTGGTATACCAAACAGAGAAATCTTAGTCAGATGGTAAATGTTCGGTCCTGTATGGACACTGGGGATACAATGGGATTTAGTATAAGAGGAAAACTTATTTCCAAGTACCCCAAAGTTTTAGGGTCTGGGGTTTAAGTGTTTTTTCAAGGGTGTGAAGGTTTGGATTTTAACCCTAAACCCTACATCCTATCCTTGTAAGATGGTCTCCAACAAGTGTTGGGCCCTTTTTGGGGGTCTTGCTATACCAAGGACTAAGAACTGCGATGTATTGGGCGCCCTGTTTACGGAAACCGCTGTAAAGGCTCAAGTACATAGATAATTTGGGTACTGCCCCCACCCAGGAAACAGTCTATATCAGGGGTCCTATTAAGGGCTATATAAAACCATATTATAAACATTATCCAACTGTTACTGAGTGGGGGCAGTATCCAATAGGAAATTTGTACGATTTGGGCCTACAAAGGCTCATATATAGGAACTTTGCCATCGAAACTAATGGACTAGTTGGATAAGCTGTGCCCCCTAACAAAGATCCCCCCCCCCCCAAAAGAACAAACAACAATGCATACCATGTGGAATATTGAATATTGCAGGGTGGGGGTTTAGAAAGTGGATGACTTGGACCCTGAAACCCCTGAACTCCTAAACCCTACACCTTGAGCCCCTAAGTCCCTAAACCCTACACCGCTACAACCCCAAACCTTGAAACCATGAACCCCTACCACACTAATCCCTAAACCCCTAAACCATATGAACCCTAAACCCCTAAATCCTAAAACCCTAAACCCTAAACCCTAGTCCCTAAAAGCCTAAACCCGTACAACCCTAAATCCTTACAACCCCAAACCCTTAGGATGGGTTGCTGTTAAGGAACTTAAATTGACTTACAATATTGGGGAAACCCTCTTATTTACTATATATACCCATTATGGTAACTTAATTTAAGTTCCTTAACCGCAACCCCTTAGGATGGGGGATGGCAGGCTGCGGATTAAGTTGGTAGCCAGCTTCTGCTTCTTCCGGGCCGCCAGGTCTGCCAGGTTCGCATTACCTGGATACTCCCCAACAAGGGTTCATAGGGCTGAGGGATTAGGATTTGGGGTTGAGGGGCTTAGGGTTTAGGATTTAGGGTTCAGGATGTTAAGTAGGACTCCTAAAAAGTATGTTGAATACTGACATGCGTGAATCGTTGTGAGGCTTTTTTGTTCATGGTTGTTCCCACTCTAAATGTCCAGATACCCACTTGGTCAGGATGTGCCAAGAGGACCGAGTAGTGCATGGCAAGATTTCGGACAGGGAAGCCGAATCTTTCCCATGACTGCGCGACCCTCTCGCCTGAGGCAACGTAGATCTCCACAGAATCACACCTGAGTAGCGCTTTTTTGGTGGTTGAACCTAGTAAGATTATATTCCCCAAAAAGAGGATATAATCTTACTCTTAATGGGTACCTAGTATCCCCAAATAAAATACTACTCGCCTGAGTTTGAGCAAGAGCTTCTGAGTTCGGGTGAAGCATAGAGGAACCAGGCTGGAGGGATGATACGTTGACGGTATAGGGGTTGGAGGGATAGAATAGGGTTATATTCGGGTTATATTGGGGTTATATTAGGGTTATGTTGGGGTTTTACTGGGGTTATATTAGGGTTATATGTCCCTCATCACAGGAAGTGTCTATGCAGGTATATGGAGGGTTTCCCAAAATTAGGATCCCATTTTGGTACCCTAAACTAGATGCCGTAATAGAATTTATACCCAACAAGTGTCCATAATTTTGAGAATTACCCACATAGATCCCCCGATCCCTGCTTCTCCTGTTTACTTTCCCTGAAATCCTCACATTGAACCCTCAGTCACCCTTTCAATGTCAGGTCTGTTGTAGTGCCGAACCCTGATTTTTTGAGCTAAGCCCTTAAGCCTAGGCCCTAAATGGTCCTTTGGCTTTTTACCCTCAGTCCGAACCTCCAGGCTCATGTAGGGACGTGGCACGTAGGATCACTACTGAGGGTTAACCCCTAGGTACCTATAACAGGAGTATAAGGGAATCCCAAAGCGTTGAAGCTCTAAGATCCAAGCTAACCTTAAACCCTAAACCTAAACCGTTAAAGCCTAAACCCTAAACCCCCACATCCTAAACCCCTAAACCCTAAACCCTATAAACCCAATGAGCTAAGTCCCAAGGAGTTTAAGCCTCATGGGACTTCACGGTGCAGTTCAGGGTTTAGGGTATTGGCCTTCCAGCCGAGCTGCGGGGCTTTCGCCCTAAAGCCCTCCAAGCTCCAGACTGACTGAATCCTACACTCTCAACCCTAAACCCTAAACCCTAAGCCCCTAAACCCTAAACCCTAACCCCTAAACCCCTGAACCCTAAACCCCTAAACCCTAATCCTACCGGGAGAGCCTAGTTCAGGGTTTAGGATTTAGGCAATAATTATACGACAGAAGTGCAGTTGTTTTTCGTGAAGAAGGTGATGTTACATATTGCGAATTGGATGTCCCAAATAAGCCCAAAGTCCTAAGCTAAGGTTGAAACCATGGGCCCGTAGTACGGGTCCTTAATCCTGGGATCTTATTCTTTGGAGGACCCCCCACCTTGTAATAGTGGTATAATAAGAAAATAAGAGGACCCTAAGAGAAACCCAATTATCCCTTATAGCCACTATTGCAGGCTGGGGGTTCTACCTACTATATATCCTATCCTAAACCCTAAACCCTAAACCCTAAACCTTAAACCCTAAACCCTAAACCTTAAACCCTAAACCCTAAACCCTAAATCCCTTATGTGTTCCCAGGATCCCCCTAGACCTAACAACCTCCGGGTACCTTTGTTGGTTTAGGGTTTAGGGTTTAGGCCCTAAACGGAGAAACTCAGGCTCCGGTACATGGCAGGTTGGGGGGTCTGGGTCCTCAATGTTAAAGGCCTTTACAGGGACCTATATGGGGGTTTCCCAAAATTAGGAGTACCATTTTGGGGGTCCCTATAATAAGGACTATAATATTTTAGGGTCTATATTTGGGTCCCCTTAATTTGGGTATCCCCCCTATACCCCTTGTGTAAACTTTCTAAAGGGAGCTTTATGCATCCCAATGAGCATCCTAATTGCTAAATACCGACAAGGCACTCCCTGGCCCCAACCATGGAATGGGGCATTTATAATAGGGTTTAGGGTTTAAATCCCTAACCCTTAACCCCGAAACCCGAGACCCTAAACCTTGAAGCCTGAAACCCTAAAACCCTCAACCTCTACACCCCAAAGCTTAAACTCTGAACCATGTCCAAGGCGCTCTTTGGCCCAGGAATGTTTAGCGGCCTTCACAGATGGCGCATCCTCTGGCAGACGCGCCGTCACCGCGCAGTGGACCTGGATATGAGGTAAAGTCTAAACTCCTAGTATCCCCCCTATAAGGCCCTATAGTACTCCCTACATAACCCCCCTTTGCGGAGTTTAGACTGTAGCTCATATTTAGCACGGTTGAGTTTAGGGTTTAAGATCTGAGGGTTCAAGGTTTAGGGAACCCCTCCTACTGATGTTCAAGTTGGCTTAGTTTTGAGGGACTCCCTGCATACCAATCCCACCCCTAATATTGAAAATGTTACAAGGTTTAGGGGGGTTTTAGATTAGTATGAAGGGTGGGGGTGTGTTAGATTAGTATGGAGGGACGGCTAGGCTTTACCTGGAATAACCCACGGACGAGTAGAGAAGGTTGTGCCCTAAACCATGAACCCTGATTCCTAAAGCCTGGCCTGAACCCCTAAACCCTAAATTGCATTGCTTTTTAAGGGTCCAGGTTGCCCTAGGATTTGGGGCTTAGACAAGTTTAGGGGATTGGGGGTTCGTCCTGTGGGGTCTCCTCGTTCTGGCCTCAACCCTCATGAATCCTAAGCCTTGAAGTTTACAAGGACGATACCCATTCTTGAAAACAATCAGAGAATGTTTGTGAGGGTTTAAGAATTTCCGGTGGTCACGCGGTCTAGGGTTTAGGAGTTACAGTTGCTTGGGATTTACGGATTTCCAGATTAGGGCTGTTAGAGGTGTTTGGAGACGATTTGCTTGAGGTTTGTATGGGTGCAGAGACGTAGGAATCCACGCAAGCCCTCACCCTAAACCCCAAAGCCGAATCCCTGAACCCTCAACCTATACCTTAACCTTAAAGAAATTGACTCCAGATGAGGGGAAAGGGTTCACGCAGTTTAGTCAGGCTTTTGCATGGTAGTTTCCATAAATGGGGGGACCCAGTATACTATAGGCCTTGTTATTTAAACCCCAAAACAGGACCCCTCATTGTAGGACCCCCCCCCCCATAAACATGGCTTTGCATATAGCTGTGATGTTGAGAAATTGAGAACTGTGGAAGGCCACTGTACTCGGAGGAACGTGTTCCTTAAATAGTTATAATTACGCGGCTTAGTGTTAGGGTTACTTACCTAAAAAAGTGAAACAGGGTTCCAGCAAAGTTATACGACGGCTCTACTGTAGTTATGGAGGGGTCAGAAACGAATCACATCTAATGTCTAATGAAACAATGCTGGCAGTTATTTAGGCTTCTGCGGCTGTGGGTCAAATTGCTATCATATAAGAGCACAACTGACAAATACCTAAACCCTAAACCCGTTTTCGTAGCTTCCATTTTGTTTTCGATTATCCCGATATAACCCTTGCTCCTTGAGGCCGGTTTTACGGTTGCGGCTCTCAAAGCGAACTCCCTCACTAAAGGCTGATGGACTAAGCCCAGCCAACCCCCTCCATGAATGTTGGAACAGGCATGCGACAAACACGTCTGAACTGAGGCTTGCCTCCGTTACTCCCTCGACCCTAAACCCCATGTGTCAGCTACAGGCCATGACCTATTGGCGTGCTTCGTGCCCCGCCAGCCGAGGCGGGCACGTGATAGCGTTTATAATTAGGGGTAGCTTTTCGGGGGTCTCCAAGATAAGGCTTAGAATACTTTGGTGTCTATATGTGGGTCCCCTGGTTTTGGGAAACTACCATACAGCAAGCAACAAACATTCGTGATTACGGGTTTAATGTTTCATTGCACAAGTAATGTTGGCTTTCTGGGCTGCTTCTGCTAGAACTTTTGCACTTATGGAGCTTATGATGGGACCCTAATGTTGACGTGTAGCCAAAAGCCTTAAATCCTAAGTAGTCTAATCCCCGGACCCATACTCGCTGATGATAATAAAAATACTGCGTGGTCTTAGCAAGCTAGAGACCCTGATTCCTAAGGTTTAGGGTGCGTAGGGTCATGCAGGATCTTAATATCAACTGTGTGGCCAAGTAAAGGGTTTTTTGGTATAGGGTCTGGGCCTAACCCAGACCCTGATTGTAAACCCCCTCCCCTTACTAGGGGTTTTTGGGATCCTAATATTCAGGCCCTTACGGGGGGTTTATTAATCATGGGTCTACATTAGGGCCTTTGGTTTAGGGTAAAGTCCTAAACCCTAAACACCGACGCCTCAATCACAAATCCAGAAACCGAAGCCTGCAATCCCGATTCCTAAGACGTACTAATCTAACGTAGGGTGCAGGGGTCTAGGGTTTGGGGGGTTTAGGGATTTGGGTTAACCCAACATACAGTACTCAAGGTAAGTAAAAGCCATCATTAGACCCTTAAGCCTGGGGGCTGTGGGGCGCCGCGTAGCTATCTCATTGCAGCTTGGCCCTTCGAGATCTTGCTCCGTAAGAAGTTTTGCTGCCAAATCCTTGCGGAGACATGGTTCAGGGTTTAGGGCTTAGGGCTTTGGGCAGCCATAACCACGTATGACTGTGGTTCTAGCCGGCGTGTCTTTCATAATAGTATTATGAGGGGTCCTAGGAAGTTGATATTAACGGGTGTACATATATGTACATATGTCACAAGCTGGAAAGTTGAACATGAGTCCCCGGAGCCTTGTATGCGAGGGTTTGAATGATTGGATGCAAGGATTTTTGGGTTGCCTTGGCTCTAAATCCCAAAAGCCTCAATCAGAAGCTCTAAACCCTAAAACCTCAAATTCCTACACCTTAAAACACTAAATCTCCCAACGCCCTAGACCCTAAATCCCCAACCCT